TCAATTGTATATTCTTCTCTTGTTGATTTTTTTCCTTTTAAATAAAGGTTTAGTGCTTGTTTAAGTTATATTGAGGAAATTAATATTAATTGATGGTTTTGAATTCTCAACGAAGCCTAATAGTGTAGCCATTGTTTCTTTGATTTACAATAGCTCAAGCTTATTTTTGTGCGTAATATGCAATCATTTTCTACTTTGAACCCTTATTGTCTCATGGAAGTCGTTTTTTTTTTTAAAAATATTTTCTATACTTTGCAGTAAAAATACTTAGCATTAAATTTTTTTGGCTTGTATTCAGAATTCAGTGTAGCAATCTTTCGACTTTTTCCTCTGCATCAAAATCTAAAAACCTTTGACTTCTTTGAAAATAGCGCGTCCCTTGAAAATTCAGGGGACATAGAAACCACAGCATACGATCCACAGTTTTTTAGCTCGAACCATTGATGCTTGAATACATTAACAAATAGGAAAGAAAAGTCTACATACAACCATAGTAGCATTCACTTGATCTTCTCTGCCACCAAAGAAAAGTCTACGTGCTTGTAATGCTGGCAGAATAATGGTGCCAAAAAAAATATGCATTGACCAGCTTGAATCAATCATTTCATCAATAAATAAATTACCAATGAAGTATTGTATCACCTATTCTATCAGCAAAAACTAAATATAATGCTTTTTTTTAAGAGGAAATTAATTTGAAAATTTTGAGATTTTTTTGGAAATTTTTAAAAAAATTAAGAAAAGTTTCGGAGAAAATCAAGTATTTTCATGTTGGATTTGTATTTTACAGTGAAAATATATAGTTATGCAAAATTGTTGAAAAAACATGTAAGAAATTAACAAAAAATTTTAAAGTACTTTTGTTATTTATTTTTTATATATAATATATACTAATATATTATTATATTATATTATATTATATTATATTATAATTAAATTATAGGTTGAGCCCGACCTAGTCGAGTCTGGTTGGATCAACTGGCAGCCCAACATATGTGGCCCTCTTATTTTTAGGTCGGGCAAGACCCAGCCTAGCTATTTGGGCTAGGTTGACATGAGTCCAATTTATAGGGCACGTCATTGTTGGCCTAACCCAGTGACCACATAAATTAATTAGCCACTGCATGCAAAAATGAATTCTGTATGTAGCGGAAATGAAGAAAAAAAAAAAAAGAAGAAAAGAGGAAAAAGTTGCCTCGTGTTAGGGTTGTGGTCATGATGAGGAGGTCTGACCGATGGCTCAAGAGGTGTTAATGGAAGATGTGGTGGTTGGTATCAGTTGTGGGAGGAAGATTTACAAAGGAGAGAGTGAAACTTATGGTGACTACTCGTAATGAGAGGTGCCCAGCCATTTGTATGTGGTGGTTATTCCTTACGAAAGGTGGCTATCCATTTGTTTTTGGTGGAGATGGTGGTGGAAAAGTCGGTAATGAGAGTGTTGGTGGTTGATGGAGAGAGAGGGCAAAGAAAGAAGATCACGCTTGTAGCAAAAATATAGGGAAGGTTGATTTTTTATTGATTTTGGAAGCAATTTGCTCCTTTCCCAACTCATGAAATACACCCCTGTTTATAAGGTTTATAAGGAATGGAAGAGGGATGTTTCGTCTTTACTAATGCCAAATCTTGACCCTTGATTTGACAAGGAAGAATCCTAACTATTGAATCAAAGTAGTTATCACATGCTATCAGATTTGTTGGAGGAAAAGGGTTGGTCGAGTTGACCACTTTTGGGTGGTGCCACAACCATTGTGGCGTCAATCGACCAAAATGGATCATACTAGGATGAAGTTAAATGTTAGGTGATCATTTTCGTGTAAATTTTGTCACTCAGCCCCTGAGTAGCTTTTCCGGTGAAAATATAAAGAAGAAGATGAATAGTCAACCCCAAAATGGTGTTATTTTAGCAAAGTTCATTTAGTCCTTTAATTTTTTATTTCTCTTAATGACACCCCTTGATTGGCTTTAAACTTTCAATTTTGCTTTTCTTAATCTTCAATTCCAACCCTGAATTTCAAAGCTTTTTATTTTATTTTATTTTGGTTAATGATTTTGGATTTATCAATTTGACCCTCAATTAATCATTAAATTGAGATTTCAAACATAATTTTTTACCAGTTAAGCCCCTAATAAAATTATTTTGACTCATTTAAAGTATACTATAGTCTTTGCACCTAATTAAATTTTTTAATTGTACCCAAATTAATTTTCAAACATTATTAAACTTTAATTTGGCTTATGATTAAATCAAATTGGCCTATTGAAAATTTAATTATGTCTCTAGGCTTAATTATTATACAAGTTTATCCAATAATAATTTAATATGACCTTAAATCTGCATTGTTTCTCTGGTTTTGGGTAAAATAGATTACATTTTGACTCTCGATTTCATCCAAAATTGCAATTTGATTTTTTCTATATATGAAATCCTCTCAACTTGCTTTTGCAAAAATATCAGTCTTTTTGCTATTTTTATTTTTATTTTTTATCTTTATTTTGATAAAAAGGTGAATTTAAAGAATAACTCAAAAATAGATTATAACACCCCTTATCCACCTTTCTTATATGAGTTTTCTTATATAATTATATCAGAGTAGACTCACACCCAAGATGTTTTTCCTTCAAAAAAAAGTTGTAAAAATTTTAACAAATAAGAAGTCAATTAAAAATTAAAGAAAAAATAATTTAAAAGTTTTACTAGAAGATTTACATGGTTGACAAATCAAAGCAATCCACTGGCGTGTTTGCTTATTGAACTATATGTTTCTTTGTTTTAATTCTGCTAACTAGATGGTGATCACTTTTTAAATTCTTTTGATGCAAAAAAGTCTTGAAACTTCACCTAGTTATCTTCAGTGGCATGACTTGGTTTATAATTTTCCATGCTTCGATACCATCAATATTGGCTCAGAGTTTTGCATATTTACGCAAATCATACAACAAATCAAGCAAACTATAAAAAAAAATTGTTAAATATGTGTGAAATTTGAAAATTTAAGAATAATATTAATTGTTTGATACTTATCTAAGTATACTATGTTTTTCCCTCATTTTCCTGACCACCCCTTTATTTTTCCTTTTCTAATAAATTTTTGTATGTTTGTCAATTTGCACATAATTATTAAGACCTTTCTCATATATAATAACCCTCAAAATTATTTTCAAACATAAGTTCATAAACATGAATGTGAAATTTAACTTAAATAAGTTTATCATATATAGGCCTTACCTAAAGTTCCATCTTGCTAACTTTTGCATGCAATCAATACCACATAACACAACCATCCATTACAACAAAGGTAGCCCTATATATTATCTGTCAATTTAATTTTATCCACTTAAAGATTATACAATATATTTGTTAAGCATTTATAATAATAATTCCATAACAATATCATAATTTCATACATGACATAGAATATATATATTCTACCAAGCATCTATTCTAGTCATCCATTGAGGATGATTTTAAAGTTAAATCCACTAAAAAAATGGTTCCTCAAAATAAAATACAC